CGGCCTGCTGATCTGGCCACGTGTGACTCGGAGGGTGCCAACTTCATCCTCACGTGTTCTGGGACATCTTTGACCCTAGGCAAGAGACTTTGAGTTTTCAGACGATGCAAACGTCCGCCTTATTGTGGAAGTGTTGCGACCGGTGCAATAATGGCGCTGACTATTAATCCATTATGAAGTTCACACTTATGAATGTGACGATGAATGGCATCTTCGATAGCCCAGCTGTTTGGAGCACATGACCGGGATGCTTCTTGTGGTTGATTCATGCCCCATCTGAACGTATTTTTCCACTCGTATGCTGTTTACTCTCTCTTTCACAACAAACCAGGTCAATTTCTGCTAGATTTTGACCCTGAGAAACAATATTTACCAGCTGGGGATGTCAACATTCTGCAGCAATGTGAGAAATATTGGCCTACCCTTCACCACACATCTAGATCCCCGCCTTCTGAGGTGAACTGGAAGATATCAACATTGAAGAAATATATGTATGCGCGTGCAAACTTTCTGGATGAGTTTATGTGCAAGCGTTCCGCGATGTATCTGCTAGAGGTACCTCTGGGTAACTGGTAGAATACTTATCAGTTAGTTTAACCCGCAGTTGACCACTGCATGTAGTGACGATGTTGAGTATTCAAGGTTCAGCACACCTGTAGTCTTCAAACCCTGGTAGTGCTCAACACTGAACTTGGTTGATCACAAACTTCGTGGGTTTGGTTTCGCACCCACTGAGCAGCTAGAGGGTAACGGTTCATTTTTCTGTTTATTTTTCAGCATACATCTTAACTGAGATTGATTCTGGTTGCCATGAGTGAAGTAAGCTTGCGTTTTTATGGTACTTAGACTAGATATTCATGACAAGGATGACAAACGGCGGACAATCGTTGGTAATGGGTCAAATAGCCTCATTCTGGGTTTTGTAGTGGTTGGATTCCTGAAATCGTATTTCGCCACACTCAAGACCATGGAGCTCTGTCGCGTTCCGTATTGGGTTTCGCGAATGTGTGAGACATAAATAAGCTGGAAGCTTTTTATGGTCGCTCTCGCTAGGATGCTCTGTTTATCGTCTTACTCTGTTTTACTTGCCTGAATATGGTACAGTAGATTACACCCTGTAAGTGCAACCGAGAGGAATTACCGGTTTTTCGATCTGCATTGGAGATGATCACCAATTCGAATCTCTAGTCGAAAATTCCAAGCAGGTAGCTGACACCTAAGCAGTTGGGACGCAAGCCAGTTAGGCGCTGTTGATCGGCAGCTCATAGCCGGGTGGTTCAATCTTTACCTACTTGCCGGAAGGACGAGAGTTCAAACCCTAAGGGAACTACATGAGTTGCCTAATGCCGATGATTCATAAGGAAGATGCGACACTTGTGCACACCTTCCACCCTTTCAAAATCACTTGGCCGGAACAAAATCTCCACTGCAAGATTTTCAAACTCTTTCCGCTCAATGATACATCAGTGATTTATTAGAATACCCAGACCAATAGATGTGCTCAGCATCCAGAGTTTGAGTGTCTACTTGACCTAGAAGCTCCGAACATATTTTCAGCGATCCTGTTGAATGATGAGTAAAATGAGCACAACTCCCCTTCATATATATCAAACAGCTGGTCTTTAGCAAATGAGTGTCTTTTGAAACAAACAACGAGGATTCATCTTATATACTCTGTTTATTGCGACAAAACTTGCGATCTATATTCCCACTAGTGGATGCACACACGTGCACATCTGTTGTGTATTTCTTACATCCTCAACTTTAAGGACGTGGAGACTGTCACCCCGCTGACAACTGTTCACTGCATCTTCCTAATTGAAAGCGAATGTCCAATTTGTTCCTTTACCTTCCGTTACCAGATCACCGGTTCGGCCAATAGGTTCTTGAAACAGACCGAGGGGGAGCAATCAACAAAAACAGTTTATAATTACTGTTTAGGCCCCCTGAGTTCATCCAAAACTTGCACCATAATCAGGACGCGTTGTTCACAGTATTTTTGGTTTTCTATCAAGATTTTTACAACTGGAACTATAATTTGAGATTTCATCCTGGAATCGGTCAACGCCTGTCCCAAAGTTGTCACGGCTTTCGTCAGTGAGCACAAATAATCCATCCTTTGGAATATGGACATTCAGGTGTGATTCCGGAGACCGTGGCAAATCCGTGAAGCCCTTTAAGCTCGCAGACCCTTATTGCGTCACCGCATTCATTCTATGGCTTGTGGACATGGTTCTTGATCGGAATGTAACTTCCTCTTTGAAGGAATTATGGCATTTCTTGGGAAATTAGAGCACTAAATCGGCGTTTTATTCAATCGGGTGAGTTTAGATTCATTAAAATGGATCTGTTCATAGCAGACTGGTGCAACGAACATCACGCAGTCCAGCGTGTGTGTACAAAACTGATCCAAGACTGCCACTGAATCACTGCTACACATATGACTTTCAATCATATGTTCGAAATAAGCTTCGAAGGGGTTCTGAACTCTGCCTGACTTATTCTCTAAGGGTTGGCAAAGACTCCTGATTAAACAGTTTGGAACTTGAGCACTCTGTTTACTGGCACCGACGCTCAGTCTTGACGTTGTATATCGTGCTGCTTGTCACTCTTAAGGCTTATTCCAACATGAACGACTGGCTCAGCTGTAACGTTGAAAACAATAAATTGTGCCTATATATTGTAAACATACCTCAATACCTTCAGGCATGAGTCTGACTAGACAGTGAATATGTTCTGGACGACGGGCTAACGCAGAACCGTCGGGACCAACACTGTCTTAGGAAACATTCCTCCACTACCGACTGATGTTTTGGTTTTAACAAGCCCTTTCTAAAGGTTTGCTTTGTTCAATCGACATCCTTCTATCTGGCAGGGAGTAAACCGTTTTCTCCAGGTCATATCTTTAAGATCAAATGAGACTTACTCACTCAGCACTGATGTAAAAGTAAGACGATAAATTCGTGTTTAATCTAGATTCCTTTGTGCAATAAAAAAACGTCGTCAGTTTGCTTAACTTTTCTCGGAACTCCGGGCAGAGCATCAGTCGGTAGGTAGACGCTAGCACCATCCAACGAACCACCTGTTATTGATCTATCCCTCTGTAAGGACTTGGCTACCTGCCAAGTTGCGGAACACGCCTTTAGGCGAGTGAAGTTGTTGTTGATTCGAGGGAAGATCACAGGCCAGTTAGGTATCTACAAACAGTCCTTTAGATCGCCCGTAATTTTTAAAAAGCCTTTGTGTGAACGCGTGTTCAGAGTTTAAATTTTCTGGCGCGAACAGCTAGTAAGCCCTGTTTTCAGTTTGCTTTGTCTATTATCAGTGCCCAATAGAAACTAGCGTTACGTGGAAAGTTCCTTTAATAAGCAATTTTGAGGAGCGTCTATCGACTAACAACCTTCCTATGGATAACTCCAGCTGTTGTCTACTGTTGTTACATTGATCAAGGTATTCATCTGACGGGATGTAGCAAAACAAATGCGAGCTTATTAAAAAGTAGTGTCTCTTAAGCCAGACGTTTCCTTTCTAAACTTGAGGACCGATTTCTAGTGGACTCAAAAGACTGATAAGTTTTTATTTCCGTAATGTACTAATCACAGTTCAATATGTCGCATTCTAGACGTAATACACTACTCTTAAGCTTGTTGAAAAATTTCGACAGCCAACGACTGGTTTCGCCCTTCTTGAGGCGCATCAGGTAGGCACATTCTCGCGTTTCCGTCAAACTTACGTAAACCCAAAGTGGTATGCAAATGAGTGTATTTGTTGCATTCCAGCGTTTCCGGAAAACTTACGTAAACCCAAAGTGGTATGCGAATGAGTGTATCTGTCGAGATCAGTCCAATCTAGGTTCAAGTAGAACATAAAACTGACGGAAACTATTGTAATGTACCTTCCTGATGAGTCTCAGGAGTGGCGGAACCGTTTATGGGCTGTCGAAGACTATTCAACAATTTTACGAGTAGTATATCACGTTTATGCAATGTCTTGCTATATCTAGAATATTGCACTAAATGAAGCATGAGGCGATCAACTGCTGAAGAACATCATAAACCATAGATTCAGCTGTTCAGTTAGCCTCCCGTCAAAATGCGAATGAGTGTGTGCCGGATTCTGGTTTCTTCACGGTCATGACTTTATTTGAGTGTGTCTATAGCTGATCATTAATTTCGCCATTCATCTGTCCACATCGGGGACAGTGCAAGTACTCAATAGTTCCGAAGTGGAACTCGCATGGAAGGGTGGGACTGAAGATATCCATCACATGAAATTCAGTGAATCCTCGACCAACCAACATAGTCTACCGATTGGGAACATTCTGCTTCACTGAATGAAGATTGACACGGTGTTGTATCCAGCTTGGCACTCGCGGCTGGAAAAGAAATTTTTGTCGGATATCCACGTGGGCGTGTACCGCACGAAAACAGTTGTACTCATACATTCTCCCTAGAAATATAAATAGTCTGGAATGTATTTATTCTGGTTGCGTTGGTGATTATGGACGCCGAAATGAACGTGTGAGCTAAGCTGATAGGAAAAATAAAGACAAATTACAGGATACAGGGGAGCATTCAACCCAGAGTTATATTCATTTTCGCATCGAGGTACTGTGGATCATTACTATGGAGAAAGTAGTGATCGGAGTGATGCGGTACCAGACTGTTGTCACATATTCCCATGTCAGTTATCTAATCAAACAACGGGATAAAACAGCGTTTTGTCTCCTGAAAGTGAGGATTGTGTTGTCTGTCTTCATTTAAAAGTACTTTAAAGCGGTCCACTAATGCAACTTCACGGTTACGGGTAACTAGGGTTGAAGGCGCCGTCTTCAACAGGCCTGCCTGGGTTTATGTTACATTTCTGAACACCACATGCCCTCCAACTTGATGGATGTCGGCACAACATTACACACGAACAGAGCAAAGAAGGTTTTGTCCCTGTATTCTTAGCGTCGAAGACAACTATCATGGGCATTTTTGCTTGGATCATCCAAGTACCTGAAGGCCATAAACTCATCCATCACTAAACACATACAGGCGGCAGAATGAAAAGTTCGTTGTAAATTTTGTATCTGTTTTGTTCCCAGTTTGTCAACCAGTCCACATTAGAAGAACTTGTACAATTAACAAGAAAATGTTCACAAGCCAGTATGCTATTATCAGGTCTTTGGACATCCCCGTAAAGCCGCCGTCAGTTCTTCCAGGTTTACTTGTCCATCTCCGTCCTTGTCGATGCTGGTTATGTAAGCTCCTATCTGTTTGCTCGTGTACTTGGCTTTGTTGGCCTTGAAAAAGCGAGAAAGTTCTTGTTTGGTTATTTTCCCGTTCCCATCTTTGTCAATTGCTCTGAAAATGCCGGCGATTTCTCTGTCCCTGACCCAAAAACAGAATGATAATTCAGTAAGCAAAATTCATAAAAATAAATAAGACGTCTTGTTTTTTGGCCATCAAAATCTATTGGAAAATTATGCGATAAAATTTAATATTTTCGCAACTACGCTGAGATGTAGCAACTCGTCAAGGAGAAGAAGCTCCCACCTCCCTTCCTCTCAAAGGAAGATGTTATAGTGGCAAGTGTCTAACTTAAAGTAGACTGCCTTTGGGAAAACCTTTTTTGGAAAGGAATATTCAGAGAGCGCCATTGGCTCACCAACACATGCGTTTGGTGTCAACGGTCTGAATGGATCAAAAGTCGCCCTGGTTGCATTTGCATATAAAATATTTTACGTAAAACACAACTGGTTTCACTTGGATGATAGTAATATCAGTAGTTGAACGCTTCAAATGTTCTGTGTCTCAATTGTTTGGACAAAAGTAGTTATATTAAGTGGTCACTTCTGACAGCAGAATCTTCCTAGGGCTGATCGGATTGAAGTGTGTAAGTTTGGGCAATTTTGAATACAAGAGTTTCCAGCAATTGTTGATCTAACTTTTGACGGAAGCTCTATTAGTAGGGCTGCTATTTATAACAGTATCCGGGACGAAAACATTGCTTGCTAGACGTGGATCACACGCACTGGTCGCATAATTATCTACAAATTGAGGAACACTCTACCTCCAACGGGAGTTGATTTCAGGGTTGGAAAGACAAAGTTGCTAAAGTTTATTTATCTGCATCAGATTGAAACCTAAGCACTCAACTTCCACGAAGTGGGATTAATGTTTATCCCGCTACCAACCTAAGTGTTGCTGCGAACGATTTTTTACCGTTGGGTTAATGAAGCAACAGATTTTAATTTTCAGTTTGAGGACAGGAGGCATTCAGTCTATTTGGTGAGAAAGAATATAAATTGTTCAGCGGTAACACCCTTTCAATGCTTAGCTGCCAATGCCACCAAAGGAAGCACGAGGACTGGAGTACTGTCAGATAAACCAAGCCTAGACAGAAGAAGTCTAGAGGCAGCGGTTGGGCTCGAACCACGGGCCTTCCGGTCAGTAAATTCGCGGTCTAACCGCTACGTCATACTGCCCCCATGCAAAAGACCATAGAATACCTCAAGTAGAACTAGGTCTGTAAAGTCTGACAGCCTCTTTATACTTCCCTTGGTAGCATGGCAAAGGATGAAGATATGTGCATCCACAAGACAAAACTTGTGGTCTCCAATATCAGTCGACGCTGTTTATCTAAGTGTGTCCTATGTACTGTTGCCAACAAATTTCCTGCTGNTGTACTGTTGCCAATAAATTTCCTGCTGAAGATTATCCCGGCCACCGGCGTGCGTGTTGAAGAAGGGGATATCAACGTTCAGTTCAAGTAATCATATTTCCGTTCCTCAGAGGTTTTGCGAAATTACTGAGGTGACCGCTGAGTACACTGTTGGACCAGAGCTCGTTGATTTGTGCCTTGGTAACCTGTTTTAAGTAGACTGGGGCTCAGAGGTTAAACCGCAAATTTACTAACCGAAAGTCCGTGGTTCGAACCCAACCCGTGCCTCTCGACTTCCTTCATCTAGGCTTGGGCACTCTGACAGTATTCCAACCCTCGTGCTTCCTTCGGGTGACATGGCAGTTAGGCACCGAAAGGGTGCTACAGCTGAACGATTTAAGTAGGCTGGATCAAAAATCGCAGAAGACAGGTGCGGTAAAAACTTGATTTGACTCGAGTGACTACCGATTTCTATTTGCATTCAAACACTTGGTGTGTGGTATTTTTCAACAAAGCGTAGGAAAGCTGAAAGTAGAATACTTGCAATGAAATGTGGCGTTACAAAATCAAAATCGCTTGAGGAAACATGAGGGGTTTGCGGATTGCGCTAGGCACTCGCAACCGGTGTCCTTTTGGTTTTCTGTCCGGAGTCCTTTCCGGAAAAACAATTTACTGGAACAGAGCATACCATGGCAACATGAAGTAGAACTAGTCGAAATAAAGCGTTTCTGTGAGATATTTCTACCGTTTTGAGAGATCTTCTGGTAATTCGCTTGGGGTACGACTGGGGAGCCTGAAGAAAGAGTGCGTAGACGATCGCATGCCGATAAATTAAAGATCACTTATTGTCCTGCAAAGGGCTTGAGATTAGTTCGAGTTGAGCTAGCTTAACAAAGTATAGAGGAGTTCAGAACCCATCAGGAAGTAAGATCGCTTCCTGTCGTATGTCATTCAAAACTGTTACACGAGCCAATGAACTTGGTTTCCCCGTACTTTTCATTAATAGTGAAGTTTATGCTTTTTCTTACTGAATAACGTTGCTCCCTGGTAAGGTAAAGTCTAAAATCTGGGCGGTTGCCACCAGCGAGCACCGCGGCATTAACCTGGTTAGATTAGCTATGAACCACTGGATCAGGATAATGGAAAACCACTGGGTGATCGCGGGGTTGGAGACATACACCATGGTGCAGCATCAGTCTAATACGTGAGTTGTTCTACTACACTACCTTGAGGACTAGACCAGACGTCCGAGTTATATGCGAGCTTCTCAAAAGAAACCTTCAGTGTGGTACCGGATCCACGTGCATCAGCCAAAAGGGGTTCATGATCTTCCACTTGCCCATGTGCAAGATCCTAGCAGGCGCACGTTATCAAGCTGAACGAAGGACCACATTTAGTCAACGCGGTCAGATTCTAAGATATCTGAAACACAATCACCTGAAGGATACCATGAGACGTTCAGAAGACTGGCAGCTACTGTCTACACAACTTCCAAGAGGAATGTCCAGGATGAATGCCTCGATGGTCAACAAAAGTTGTTGCCACAGGCCACACAGGGCAAGTGATGCAGAACAATAAGGCAAATGAGTCCAGAATGCGAAGCGGGACCTGGAGTGGCTACAACCTTTTTTCTATGTCTCAGTAAATCCCTTCACACTGACTTTCAAGAGACAGGGTTGATAACGAGGTCCACGGAAAAAACCGGTTGTGAATTCTCGAAAAGTGGCACCGTCTCAGATGGTCCCCTTAGAGATATCGCCTGCATAGCAAACTGGCAGCGATTAAGAAGGTCAGCTCAGAGTCATTGGTAGAAAGAATCGGTGCGCCTCTATCCTAGAAGACTAGATGGTTTTAGGGTAATCGGCAACTTCTATGGCTAAGATTCACGCGTACCCCCACGTATCAGTTGTGACTGTTCAATCATGAACAGAATCCAAATTGTTCATCCTTTTTGAATGTCAGTCGCTCCCGGAATTATGACGAAATATCGCGTAGACGATTCAGGCCTTTGTATCCGCCCCGTTGAAACGGTTCTTCTGTCCCAGAAAGGGAATATGCAGTAGACTCGAGTTTCTTTTATCGTTAGAGCTCATCACCGAAGCATCTTTTAGGAGGTGGGCTGTTCACACGTGAACGGTGAGTGTAAATTTATAGCGTTTCGTCTGCGAATTTCTGGATCTAGTGCAGTTTCGAATCTTTCTAGGCTTCCAGAACAGCCATTAATATTCTAGCCTGTTAAAGACTGGCCATTCTGATAGGGCGAATAGTAGCGTGCTCGCCACGAAATGTGAATGGATATCTAGCTGAGAAACCCGTGCTTCGAAATCGCGCGAGCCTCCTTAATCTGATCTCAGAGAATGTTTGCATCCACCAGTGTTGTACGGACTACGTATGCAGGTTTGTTGCAGCTTCGTGCACAAATTCAGTAAAAAATTCCCAGTTTTCGCCCCAAAAATTGTTCCAACACGCAAATTCAGAAGACTTACGTCAGTTTTTCGGTCATCCGTTAATAGGTATATGGATCTGTTGGGCAGTCACAGTCGAAAGTAAAGTTGTAATACCTTGTTGTTGTTCTCAGTATCATACGACGAGCAATGTCGATATTTAGGTTAGCCTATATTGTGCTGGTGAGTTGCAGAATGTGCTTCTGTTAACAGGGTGTGTTCTGATATAATACTACTGCTTGTGCATTGTCATATACAGCAGAGCAAATTTCTACGCATCTCATTCCAGCCTATGAAATCGGAACACGTGACTCAAGTCGTCACGCATCACAATGAACCTCATTGTCGGACATCCGTTATATACCTATGCGTTTAGCTACACATGTATTGGTGTATACTATTGATTAAGCATGTGAGTAGTATCTGGTCACGTGCACCTTCCCTACATATGACGGAAGGTTCGTACGGAAATTAGGGAAATATCTTGCAGTAATTATTCACCGTTGTTTAATACTAGAAAGACGTCCATAAAAGCTTGAGAATGTCCACTCATCAAATACGTTGTGCAAGGGCGATTTTCACTTTCGTTTCTAATAGCCTGTGACCGGTTGGTTCATGTTGATCGTTAAATAGGGCATCCAGGGTATTCTTCCTTACCCAACAGTGTAAATCATCTGGCAGATATCTGACCCCAAAAAGCGGAGGTAGTAAATCATGGGAAAAATTTCTGATAAGCGGACCATATTCGCTTTGGGCTTGCGAGTTCCATGTGCTGCTTACCTTTTGAAGGAATAACTAACTAACAGCGATCACAGACCGTCAACTAAACGTATGCACATGAAGACGGGCTGTACATTCGTACAGACATCCGAATCAATATTTTTGGTATGTATTACAACCAAGGTTGTCCATTCCCCTGAGAAAGGCAGGT